GGAAACTTCAAGAATCACCTGCGTTGCAAAAGCAGAATTTGCCGGCGGATGCAGATAATCAAAAGAGCATCAGCATGTTTGGTCGTGGCGGGCAACCTACGAACATTGACCTGAGAAGTCGTAATGCCGCCCCTACCAACGGGGAGGGCAACCTGTCGCAGGCAGTCAGCGATGCAGACGCATACTTTTCCAGCATTGGAACACAAATGGCGGCGATGAGATTAGACCAAGGCGAGGATATGTTTGGCGGCAGCAGCGGGAATATGACGGGTTATGTTGTCAGTGCTCATGCGCCACAGGCTGTGTTGCAACCAGCGCAGGGGGCAGGGAGTAACGGCGATTTGCTGGCGCTTTGAGAATGGAGACAGGTTGAAGTTGAAAGGATGGTTTGGCAGGGCTTTTATGTCGGGGCGTACATTGTAAACGAAGAATGTATCTTGCAGATAATATCAGTGGGAGTGGACATACATAAATCTAAATAGCCTATGTTCTTTTGCTTGTGATGTGCGCACGCATACCCATGGGTGCACAGCATTTCAATATCCGATATAAAGCCCACGTCCCTGCACACTTTCTTTTCTCTTCCCGAAGAGGACAGAGCAGGGGGCTTAATGCATTAGCCTTGTCTCGTATGCCCTCTACCGCTTTGTACATGCGGGAGCTGCCAGCCAAATTGTGTTGAATGCCTCACGGAATTGCTGTATAGATACCTAGTACTTGCGAATGCGAGTAAGATCCAATTAGTAGGTCGGTAGATGCAAATAGATTTAGAGAGAGAATTGATACGAGAATTGTTATACACCTACTTGGTACGCTGCCATGAACCCGCATCTCATGATCTGGGCACATGCTTGTATCAAAGTTTCTGAATCTTTTGGTTCCTCGTTATTTGCATACTTTTTTTTTAGTTGTTTATGTGTATTCATTATAACAACAGCACGCAATACCTTGACAAAGCTAGCTATTGAACTATTATGACGAAGTGCTCTATTAGCCTTATATCTGTTTTGGTAGGAATTAGCTGGTCCACCTGCTCATCCGACAAAAACCACGAGAGGCTATATTTCCCACTTGGAAGACGACCGGGCAACACTGTTATGCTGGCTGGAGAAGCTTGGGTCGTTGCAAAAGAGTCCCCGGAGATAGTTTTAGCCCGGTAGATGGCTAGCGGATACATTATATTTTTTGTCAATTTTCAATTATTTAGGACTAGAGCTGGATATTGGGTGCTGCATTTACTAGCCATTGCCAGAGCGTTTTCCAATAAATCCAAGACATTTGTCTTCATGTATTGTATTTTATGCAAGTACAGATGGTAGTTTCTCACTACGGCAGGAACGTAGTCAGGTATTCTGTACCGAGTGCGCACCAAGCGTTGCGACGGAAGATGGTGGTGCTACGAATCAAGACCAGTATTCAATCAAGTAATACGACCCGCGATTAATAACATTGACTGTATTGGTGAGCCCAGTCCGGGCCGCGATGAGGAAGAGGACGCACTACAAAAAGTAATCCGGAACACTGAGCCGCCAACTCAACTTTCAGCTCAGTGGGTATACCAGGCTACCAGCAATCTGGTTACTCCTTCCGCACCGCAAGTGCGAAACGCTAGCCCATCGATGTGCCCAGCTGTCGTGTTTGCTTTTGCGGATAGAGGCGTAGAAAGGAGAGGGGGCTGGATTTTTCGATGAAGTTGACGCCACAAACATGCCACACGCATGTGAGTGCTGAGGTCATGTTCGCGAGCTGAAGTGTGATTTGCGGAACCGGGCCGTGTTTGGGCCATCATCATGAGGGCAGGCAGAAGACGAGCAAGAGCTGTTCATGCCTGCAGGGTTCAAGGCGTGAGCACCACAGAGTAGTGCGTATTGTGACGAACGGGACGGGGACTTGTCCATGCATCTAGATTCAGGTGGAGAAGGGAGGCGGCAAGGTATTGATCAGATCTTGGACGAGCCCTTTCTTCTTCTCTTTCCTCTCGTGGGGGAACTCGCATGCATGGGAGGTAAACTGCTGCTCGTTGCACCGACACGGGTTCAGGGATGCCGCCGGCTATTTTGAGATGGATGTTGTCTGCTCGGCATTTCTGGGTCGTGGACGCACTGCGTGAATGAGCGCATTGTGACGCAGTGCCTAATTGCGACTGGCCGTGTTGAGATGGGTGGCATGGCGTTTAACCGATTGGCATAGATGCTGCTTCGACCATCACGGCGGCTGCGGCTGTGTCTAGCGCAATGGATTCGAGGTTTGTGCTCAACGTTGAAGGGTTTGTACTCGGTTGTCAGTGTCTTCCGCGTGTCTGAAGAGACCGCATTACTTGCTCTTATCACGTACCCGTATTGTATGCAGGTTGCAACTCAACTAAAGGCCCGCTTGATGACGGTTGGGCCCAATGTCCCACGAATAGATCGAATCGTCGCCACGGTCCACATCCCCAGACCCGCGACCTTCCGGGTGTTGAGGCGTTTGGCTTGAGCCAAGGCCTTGAATGGCCTGGAGGCAAACACTCCCGGGAGCATGGAAGAAGCATGCTCGCGCGAGTCTTGGGTTTCGAGACGAGCCTGGACGAGCCAGCAGCTGCATGCACATCATAGCCACCCACCACAAAAAAAAAAACCAAGTTCAAGACGTTTGAGGATGCCCTGATACGCACTGTTTACCCCAAAAGATTGAGCCAGTCGCACCTCTCTTTCCGTCTCACTCTGTGTCGCTCGTTCGCTCCTCCTTGTCCACACAGGAGGACATGGGCACTTGAGAAGCCGGGCTTCCGTGTGTGCCCCACCTCCGCTTGCTCCGGCGAGCCTGGTCCTCTTCCTAGTCAATCCGTGACTTTGCTCAACCTGACGTCTACATTATCTTTCATCTTACCACTGGCCTCCGAGGACATCCGACCTCGTCTACTGTTTATCGCTCAAGGCCAGGTCGAGGGCCGCTTGATCCTGGAGCCCATATATGAATTGATTGCCTCAGCATTATCTTACACGCCTGCGCTTTGCTTGCGTCCTTGCTTGCTGGCTGCAGGACCACCCTCGTACAGCCACCCTGCAGCCCCCAGTGTTTCTGTGCCTTCGCCCACCGCCGCCGCCGTTGGTGCTGCCGCGCATCTCCATGGTCCCAGCCATGAGTTCTGGCAACAATCATAAAATCATCGGTCTTCCCGCCGACAACACTCGACTCGAACAGCCCAGCGACGCCGTCCCCATGGAAAACATGGTCCAGGGAACCACGCCGGCCGGGGACCTACAGCCGGCTGCCCGTGTCGATGCCTCCAAGGAGTCTGAGATAGTCGCCACTGAACCACTGCCAGCATCCAAGGCAATCCCCACCGATCCCGAGCAACGCAGCGCAGAAAATGAGGACAACACTGAGGCCGTGTCAAAGGGCAAGGAGAAAGAGGCAGTGGCCCCCGTGCCGCCTACCAAGGAGAGGAGCGATTCCATCATGGCCATTGGGCCTGCGCAGGACGATATTCATACAACCCCTGGCCAGTCGGACGGTCCTGTCTGCAACATCACCCTCCTGCTGACGTCGGGGAGCCGTCATCCGTACAAAATCGATGCCAAGTATCTTACCAGGAGAAATGTTGCCATGCCCGATGAGACAGAATCTGGACAGCCAGACCCGTTTAGTATCAGCATCTACACCTTGAAGGAACTCATTCTACGGGAGTGGAGAAGCGATTGGGAGGCGAAGCCTGCTAGTCCCAGCAGCATAAGACTGATTCACTTCGGAAAGCTACTAGACGATAAAGAACAGCTGAAGAGTAAGCCAATTTTTTTTTTAAACAATTGAACCATGGCGTGAAGAATGAAGCATTTTTCTAACCCTGAATGTCAGAGTACCAATTCAGCACAGAAAGCCCTAATGTAGTGCATATGAGCATTCGTCCTCAGGACCTGGACGACGAGGAGCCCAAGTCGGGAAGCAAAAACCTTCCAGGCGGGAGCGGAGACGGACAGCGATCCAGACCGGGCGGAATGTGCTGCGTCATCTTATGAGGGCCTCTCGTATCCCGTTAATCTACCTTAACTCACTGCACTTTTGTGGATATTTGTTTTAGCCACGACTAGAGAGGTGCTATTTGCATTTTTGTGCCGGCTCAGTTTATTGCCGGAGGTTTTTTTCTTTTTTTTGGAAAGACAGAACATACGTCGACATGTACATTTTCCACGACGGGCTGGCTATCGAACTGAGGCCTAGCGAAGCCTGAGAATGGCGTCCTTTACCTGCATGGGAACCAGCGGCCTGCCAAGTCTGTGGCATGCCGCTTGGCAGCCACAACATAGTCACCTCACAGCTTGAAAAGCATATCAACATACACACACTCATTCTCATACTCAGCACATCGTTTTGGGTTTATCCTATTTGGAACTGGAAAGCAGCGATTGATGGGAAACATGATGGAAGAACGAAAGGATTACCGGAGTCAACACTGGCGCATCGTCATGTATAAATGATTTGGCTATTTTTATCATTGTCAACCTTCTCATCCAGAGGCCTTGTTATATATTTGTCAAAAACGTTGGGTATAGACCCTATCAGCGCGGGCCTTTGGAGACTAGGCCGTCTTCACTAACAGCATAGAGGAATTGCAGTCAACACACTGCTGTTCTTACAAACTTGCGAATCTCGTGGTTTGCTTGTGACTTGATTTGCCCACGGCGTTCAAGCACAGCAAGAGAAAATGTAGCCTTTGAGTGGAGGCATTAAAGCATCCTAAGGACTGCCACGCAATACAGGGCACGTAATAACGCCTCGAGTATCACGAAGCATATTTCGCGACATTGTATGGTAGTCCTCATCCACACCGCTACCTCGCAGTGTCTTGAGCGGAACTATCACAAGTTTGGAGTGGACCAGGTCAAATAGTTTTTGCCTCCCACTCTGTATTCCAAAATGTTCACTGTATTGTGTTGTGATAATGTTACACGTAATCTAGCCGCTTCCATCATCCGCATTCGTGTCCCAGAAATCTAGAAGACCGCGGCTCGCTTGTTCTACTACTGAATCTTGAGCTTTTTCTCCATCTCATCGTGAACTCCAGGAACACCCTTCATCTCCTCACCAGTGAATACATCCTCCCACGTAATCATGTCTTCTCGCCCCCTCAGGATATCTTCGTGTACGCTGGCCAAGCCGTTTCCCAGAGCCAGGGGCCGCCACTCGCCGTCCCTGACAATCTTGAGCTCCATGCCCCTACGGACGGGCTCCGCAATTCCGAATGTACGACGGAGTGATTCCATGCGGACGGCCTCCTGTGTCGCCTCCCAGTTCTTAAGACGGGCCTCGAGAGGGTGTGCGGATGAAGGCTTGTTGGCGGCCGCGTCGTAGGGGGACTGGCCGACGCCGTGACGGAGAGTATCGTGGACGCCGGGGGCGGAGGGGGCGGATGAGGTGTGCGATGTGTGGGTGAAGGACTCGGGGTTGGAGTTTGCGGGGACGATGCGCATCGACTGTAAATGTTAGTGTCTTGTTGGGGATGGACGAGGAGGATGGGAGGCGAGGTTTACCATCTTGACGCAGGTTTATGGAGGGAAGAAGTTGTGTGGTGTGTCTTTTACGGTGGCTTGATTCTGGGCCTCGCGCAGGTGCAAAGTGTAGTAGGGGGATGACAGTGAGGGCGGAGATGGTAATGCGTGGTGCAGGTTGGCGTTGATGGTGCTTGTGAGCGTCGATGATGAAGCTTGGAGCTGCCTCCAGGCTACGAGTAGCCTCGCGTCCGTTGGTTGGCCGGTCTGTGCTGCGTTCTGAGCGTCCTGAGTGGGTGCTCGACGGTACGTACCTCTACGTTCCGACCCCCGGACTTGTTCACGTCAAAATGTCAATCAAACCCGGCTATTACCAAACCATGCCGAGCTCGCTTCTTTGAACCCAACTCGAGTCACACTTACTTTTATTTGTCCGATGCCCCGTGCCGAATAGGATCTCTCCAGAAACCCAAGTAGGAATGTGAGGCTTCTATCACAACCATAGGCAGCGGTTAGGCCGCACCAGAGACATGATGAGATCCATACCCTCCCGGCTACCCATCATTCGCATTGCGAATGGCACTTTCTATCGCCACCATCCAAATTCACAGGTGTCTCACGCCAACCCGTCCTTGTTCAATGGTCTATCCTTTGAGCTGCCATCTTCGTCACTCCAACCGCACAATTGGTGCGTCGTGGGGCCCTCGCTCTCTGGAAAGACGACGTTTCTCCAAATCCTCCGAGGGCGACTGCTCTGTGAGCCGCCTACGGCTCGATCGTACCCATACTTATCTGGCCGAGATGCGTCCTCGCGGCTGAGGAATCCGCAAAATGCTATTCGGTACGTTGGCTTCGACGCGGAGGCCACTGGGGGTGGACTGGGAGGCAGTGTGACAACATCAGCGTACCTGTCGGCTCGGTATGAGTCGAGGAGGGAGATGACTGATTTTTCATTGAGAGACTTTCTCTTGGGGAACACGCAGCTGAACCCTCTCAAGGCACCGCTGGGGGGAGATGACGACGGCGCCATATCGAAAGAACTGTTGAACAGGGTGGTTACGGATTTGCGATTGGACCATTTGCTGGACCTGCCTGTTACCTTTTTGAGCAATGGGCAGGGAAGACGGGCGCGAATTGCACGAGCTTTGCTCACACGGCCAGAAGTTTTGCTGCTGGATGAGCCGTTCATGGGGCTCGATCCGACTACGGTGTCGGGACTCAGTCCGCTGTTGCAATCGCTTGCTGACAAGGCAACTCCTAGATTGGTGATGAGCGCGAGGCCGCAGGATCCATTACCGGAGTGGATTACGCATCTGATATACTTGAGAAGTGATTGTCAGGTCGGATCAATGGGACCCAAAGAGGTGGTGTTGGACGGCCTGCGGAAGTATGTTCAAGGAGTGAAGCTGGGCGGCCTGCTGGAAGACGATAAACTTCCCACCCATACACTATCTGAAGTTGGGCGAGTCCTGGGTTCAAAAATGCCGTCTACTTCAACAAACGGAAGCCAGGGCAGCGAGCACGAGTTAAGTCCTGTCAATCCCGACGCAGAGCCACTCGTCGAAATGGACGGGTGCCGTGTACAATACGGGGACAAGATTGCCCTGGGAAACTGGTCGCAACAAACACCACAGGGTCCCAAGGACGGCCTCGTCTGGACCGTTCGAAGAGGCGAGCGCTGGGGAGTCTTTGGCCCCAACGGCTCCGGCAAAACCACCATCGTGTCTCTCCTCGGCTCCGACCATCCGCAGGCGTACTCCATGCCCATCAAGCTCTTTGGCCGCAGCCGTCTACCAGAACCCGGGTCGTGCGCGAAACCCTTGACATTTTGGGACATTCAATCGCGCATCGGCCACTCCAGCCCCGAAGTCCATCAGCACATGCCCCGAGGCCATACGATTCGCAAGGTCATTGAGAACGCATGGGCAGCTACGTTTGGCGCGCCGCCGAAACTAGACGCCAGCGCCAGGGCAAAAGTAGATGCTGCATTGCGGTGGTTCGCAGCCGAACTGCGGCCTAATTCCGCCTCGAATCTACGCGGGGACGATTTGTCATGGGCGGACGAATACATGTTTGGAGAAGTCTCCTTCTCGGCTCAACGCGTGGCGCTCTTTATTCGATCCATGATAAAGTCTCCCGATGTGGTTGTTCTAGACGAAGCGTTTAGTGGCATGGATGATGCAGTCCGCGATAAGTGCGCTCTGTTTCTTACGGATGGGGAGAACAAGATACACGCTGGCGGAGAGGTCGTTCAGAGTGAAGTTGGCAAGAGGAAAGACGTAGTTATCGAGGGGCTGACGGATCAACAGGCACTTATCTGCATTGCTCATGTCAAGGAGGAGGTGCCGGACTGTGTGAGGGAGTGGATGTGTTTGCCAGAGGCGAATACAGGGCGTAGAGCGAGGTTCGGGAGGCTGGATGGGCCGCTGGGTCATGACGAGAGGAGGTGGTTTGACGTGTGGGGGTTCTCTGCGTGATGAGTTTGGAGATATCTCGAAGGCCGTGTCCGGAGAACCATCCTGTGTGAGCGTAGACATGACATGACTTTACGAGCGAGGTACGATAAAAACCGCCAATTTTGCATGCGTCGAAACACATGCCGCGGAGCTAGTTCCATTCCATGGCATGTTTTCCCTGATAGAAAAAACAAAGGACACTTGAGTCCGCCCTGAAAATAAATCAGCCATCTACAAACGCGGCGTAAAGAGCAGCAGTGATGGAACGTCGTCCTCACATGACGCCATCCCACAAGACCACCAACCACCACCACCACCAGGTCCTCCTCCTCCAGCTACCAAGACTTCCTCCTTCACAATCGCAATACCAGCACAAGCTCGGAAATGGGTGCAAAACCACGCACAATGCCCACCGCACCCCCGTCGCGCCCGCCGACCACCTACCTCGACGACGAGGACCTCGGCGTGAAATGCTGCACGCCAATCACGTCGCTCGTAGCGCCAGTAGAAGTCGGCAACATAGGGTTCGCATCTTCTCCCCCCTTTCTCCAAACAAACGACGATTCCAAAAAAAAAAAAAAAAAAACCACCACAAAAAACCGACAGGTCCGCCCCC